TCGAAGAAGTGATTGAAAAAGCAAGACAGGAAGACGAGGATGACAACAGCTTGGACAGTATTCAGGGAGACGACCACTTTGACGCATACGAAGTGGAGAGGCCAGAGGACCAGAAATCTGCCGAAGACCAGGGACCAACAAGTATCGGAAGCTTTGTGGCAAAGCAGGGAAGACCACCGGAACAGCAGAACCAAGCGGCAGGTCAACAAAGGCAGTCCTTGGATCAGCAGAAAAAAGGAGTCAGTCAGCAACCACAAGTATCCAAGAAAGGTTAGTTTAAAAAGGTGTTCTTTTTATTCAGCTTATGTTTGTCCTTGCTCATTCTCATTCTCTTTTGTTCTGTGCCTCTTGGACTTTCTTTTCCATTCCCTTCCCTTTTCTCTTAACTTCCCATCCCTTTCCCTTCTCTCCAGCTTTTGTTAATGTGTCCCTCTAGCATCTCTCTCTCATTCTTGGCATGTTTCCATATTCTCTCTCCAATTCTCTCTTGCTAATTTAATACCTCTAATTTTCTCTTGTTAATTGTCTATCTCTGATTCTCTCTTGCTAATTGTCTCTCTCTTTCTCTAATTATCTTTTACTAACTCTGTTTCTCTCTCTATCTCTTCCTCCCTCCTTGGCTGTATCTTGGGTTACAGTAGAGTATTTAGACATTTTCCACTTTATTTTTTTTCTATTATTTTAGACAATGCTTTGTATTTGTGAGGAAATCCCCCTAGACTTCCTTGGACCATTTACTCATCATATCCATTTACTGACTTTATTTCATTTTTTTCTTTTTAGTTGATATTTGCCAGAAAATAAGGAAATACCTAATAAATGTTTTAATTGAAATGTAATTTTGTATTCAATTTTGTAGAGGATCTTGTATGTTTAACAATTATAAATGCCCTATGTGAAGTGATTATGTTCCAAAATGATTTAAACATTTATGTTTCCATGACAGCATTTGCCCATCACTTGGCTCTGGGCTAGATTGTTTTTTATGATGTGATGGTTATGTCACCTGGTTAATTATAATGAGAAGGTTCTTATTGCTGAGAGTTTGTCTCCAAGCATCACATTTCAATTACTTTTGCTTTAATTTGCACTGTGTATCACGTAAACTTTGTC